CCACTTGCCAATAAGAGTTTAGAATATTAAATTGCTAAAACTTTTAGTCAACACATTTGCTAGTTGAAAATTGTTAGACACGTATGAGTACATATTAGACTTTTGTTAAGTTTTTCTTTGATAAAATCTCTATCGATTCGACCTACTTGATTTGATAATATTACACCAGATTATGTGCAGTGCTTATGACTGACTTGTTGTCATAGGATAGGCGCATGTGGTTTTCCCACTAGACTCTAAGATCTTCAAAAAATTTTCTTATTAATAATAATTTACATATCCTTTGTACCATTGATAAGCACTACACATAATCCTTGTGAAAATTCTGATTCTGCGCTTGATCTTGCGACTACATTTCCTTTCTTACTTCTTCAGGTGACTAAGTTGCCCCCAAGGAAGATATCCTTATGGTAAACCTTCTATCTATAACTAACCCTACATAATTTGCATCATTATATACTTATAAAAATAGTTTATCACTTTTTCTGAACATAATTCATTCTCTAGGTAACTTTTTTAGGTAATGCAGTACTCTGTAGGTTACTTATAGATGTATTTCTTTCGTACTGTGCATGAATTGACTTATAACACTCACTGCATAAGTGATGTTTGGTTTAATGTACAATAGGTATATCAATCTCTCAATTAATATCTGATACATTTCCTTATTTACTAGTGTATTTGCTTCTATTATTCCTAATTTGTTATTAGAATTGATCGAATTGCTATCTGGTGCATACTAATTTATCAAAGTTCCTCAATAGGTCGTGAATGTACTTTTTTGATAAATGAAAATCCTGAATTTTGAATGACGATTTCAATTTCCAAAAAATACTTGAACTTACCGAGTTCTTTAATTTAAAATCCTTTTGCATTGTTCTAGTATCAGTTTTTCTTTCTCATCATCTCTTATTATGATAATGTCTTTTGCCTATATTAGGAGAGTTAGAACTCCCGTGCCTCTAAGTATTTGAAGAACAATATATAGTCTCTTTGAAATTGTTTAAATCCCAAAGCTATAATCACCCTTATGAACCTACCAAACCATACTCTTGACCGTAAATGTAACATTTGAAAAAAACATAAACTTTTTGGATGAATGAAAGGTAACATTTATACTCTTTATGAGAAGAGTATCTCACAAATACACATTGCAGAACCACAGATGAAATTTTCCTCTTTGATGACAAAGAATATAAACAAAAACAACACATCCATATATCTGAGGGACTAAATGAAATGTGAGACTTGTTGCTAGATAATTTGAAGTGTTTCTAGAGAACTTTTAAGGTCAATAATACTGGTGGGCACAGAGTTAGTAATGTAGATGGTAGCAAGGATGGTTTTGCCTCAATGTTGTCTTTAGTACATTGTTTTCAAACAACAAAACTTTGACAGTGGCTAAATGACGACTATTCTTACTACTTCATTTGTTATGGAGTGTGGATGCAAAATGATTCATACAGAATTCATTCGTGATGGAAGATTAACGAAAGTGTCTGATTAAAAAAATATTGGTGTTGTCGGTGCAAAATCTCTTTATACTAGTTTCAAATTAGGTTTTTATTATATTGCAGAACTGAGGTATGATATAGCTAAACCATATTTGCTTTTGAGTAAAAATAACTGGATGACTAAGTACAATCGTCAATAAATGACACAAACTATTGAGTACCAAAAAGATTTATTACTATATATTAATGAAAACAGAGTTAAACTTCTTTTATTACTAATGAAAATTGTCATATGCTTATATTTTATAAACTCAAAGAAATCAGAGTGTGAATTTCATATTTTGAACTTTTAATAAGTAATGAAGGAAACATAATCTTCAAGATGGATAATAATGGGCACCCAAGTCTTTTATGGTGGAGTCAAATCTTATATGTGTGGTCAGTAATAATAGTAGAGAAGGCTCCCTCAGGTGCATCCGAATAATAATATTCGTTTCTGCCTTCAGTACATTTAATCATCTTTCCCAACTTCCTAGTCTTGAAAGTCATAGTTAGAAGTGACAAATATTACTTTATAGTTCAAGTTTTGTGATGACTTATTGACTGATACATGATTAGTATATAGTTTAGGAACATGCACCATATTTTCCAGAACAAGAGTAAGACTACTCTTAATGTTATGCTTGTCCGCAAATCTACAGTGATAACTTCTTATTGCTTGAAAAAGGAACATATGTATAAAAATATTTTAAAATATTGTTCATATGATCTGCAACTCCAGAGTTTACAATTTAAAATTTTTGAAAAAGTTTTTTTCAGCCATTTAAACCATATGAAAAGGAAAGAGCAATGAGTGTTTTGTTACACTTGTACTTGTGGATTTCTCAATATCCTCCAAACGACTTTGCATTTGTTCAATGTCAACTTTGAAAGCAATGAGATCGGTAGGTGCTTCTTCCTCCTATTAGTTGGTCATGTGAACCTGTTTGAGAATCATCTGTGACGTACTTTTACATCCCCCTCTTTATTGGAAGTATTCGACTTGTTGTGCAATTTCTAATACTTTTCTTTCATATATCTTAGCAAAAATTACACTAAAGATTGTCTCTATTATCTACTCTTGGAATTGAGTTCTCATAGTGACTCATCTCCTTTCTCTGCTGACGAGATTTAGAACCTTGTGAGATTATGGCTAAACTATTTGTGGAGCGATAATTTAACATAACCCCTCTTCTGCTGTTACAATAAAAATTACTTTATCGAGTGATGACATTTTCTTTTTTCCCAAAATATTCTCGTACCTGATCTCATTTAGGATTTAGTCTTTCTAGAAATTGATAAACAAGGTACATTTCTACAAACTTTTTGAGATGGACCACATCTCTACAACAGTCCATGGTAAGGTTATGATATTGATCTAAGTTCCGACCACCACTTATTTAATAAGTTAAAATATTTATTTACTAACTTGTTATATTGTTTTGTGGACCATATCTTGAGCGTCAAGTTATAAATTTGTGGGCGCCCTTAACTTTAAAGCTAGTTTCGCCAATTGCATTCCATACTGTTTTTGTTGTGAATAGGAATATCACAGTCTTGCTTATTTTTAAAGTCATGGAGTTCAATAGTCATGCCGTAATCATAAAATCTTTTTCGTTTCAAGCACCAAATGTGGGGTCTCCAAATTTTGGTCCAAAACCAAGAAGATGGTTGAACTTGCCTTTAACCTTGAGGGTGTCTGGATTAATTGGGATCAACTTAAATAATCTTTACTTGTAAAGTGATAAATTTTCTGACTTTGCTGAAGTTTCCTGATGGGATTTTCCATCTAGGAATATGTTTCAGTAATTTGGGATGTTACATTTGGCAGACTTCAAGAGTTGCATCGTAATTAAGGTTGTGTGAAAAAACAATTATAAGAGAAATTTTACCAAGAACATAAATGGCTGTGTGATGAGGGAATCCGCAATTTGAGGACAAATGCAATTGATGCGGTCTGCACAGTTTATGGAGCACGAAAGAGGTTGTGCACAGAGGTCCAATAGCGTGAAAATGGTTAGGGTTGCACGTTTGATTAGATGCATGGCAAGGGCATAATCACTTCTAGGGCTGTGCAACTACAGGAAGCAACAGTCAAGGGTGAGCCAGTTTTTCGAGCAAGGGTTGGTGTGGAGGATCGAGCGCTGCTTGACATACGTGGTCGCATCGGGATAGTGATTGCATATGAGTATCAAGACGGAATAGAGAAGCAACGTGCCTGAGCTATGACATTGCAATAGAGAAGATCATTTCTCGTCGAGGCTGCATCTAGTGGCGCAGTCACGACAGATATGTTTGCGACAGAGAAGCTGCGGCAGAGGGATATTCGTGACTACAGAGAAAAATATCACTAGAACATAGTGGGAAAAAGTTGCAACTAAAGGATGGTCTTCAATTGTGTGACTGGATGCATGGTTGAAGGGTTCTAATGCCGGTGATGAAGGCCGATTTAGCAGTTCCTAGTGGCTGGTGACGATAGTTGGCAGCTAGTGTCTAGTGACTGGCTATGAAGCCTGACCTAACCCTTTCATGGTTTTTCTATTTTCTATTTCGGCAATGAAGGCCAAATAGGGTCTGCAATTGAGGTTAGGATTTTTTAAACCTATTACTCTGATAGCATGTTAAGAATAGTTTGATGTATATTTTATTGAATATTACATCTCTATATATATAAGCTTTTTAGGACGGGAAAAAAATAGATAATTAATTATAATTATTTACACACGGTGTAATTTACTCTTATATTCTTCAACCTAATTTATTATTTCTTTTAATAAAAATAAATGCAAACAATTGTTGATTATTAGAGAAATAATAAACTTGAAGATATACGATCCATAACTAGAGATGAAATAACTAAAATTTGACAGGTAAGAATAATTAGATGGTAAACAATTGCTTACCACATATATAAGTCGAGAAAAATAAATGTACAATGCTGGAAGAATCTTTAAGTTTTTCTTCGCTGAAGCAAGTTCAAGAGCTTCTTTGTATGTATTAGAAGCTGCTACAAAATTCCCCTGACAGAGTTTGAAAAGCAATGGCATAGATAGTTTAAAGCTCAAAAGCAAGGAAATATACACATGCCAAAACTGAGAAAATACATACAGTTTTAGAAGATTAGAAGATGGATTACTTACTAATCGTTTTTCCATGTTAGCTTTCATTCTAACATATTCAACAAATCCCGAATCTGATTCCATTTCACACTGTAGAAAAGCAGCATGTGCAGCTGATAATTCTCCAATTTGTTCCTTGAACCTAGCATCGAACAGATGGATTACTGGCACTCGCTGCAACAAACATACAAAAGAGGGGCCATAAACATGGTGGCTTACATAAAATGATAGAACAAAAGCATCATTTAGAAAAAGCAAAATGCGTGATTTCATTTTCCATCATTTCTTTTGAACTATTTTTCCTAGAGAGGACTATCATAAAATCATATTAGTGAAACTAAAATCAAAGACATAAGTTCACATTGTTCAAAATTGGTCAGGTATTTCGGACACGTTCGCATTAACACGAGCCCAGGCAGTAGTTTAATAAACATGCAGCATTAAGTTCTAGGGAAGCCAGCTGGAATTTACTTGTACATCATTAAGTCTAGACAGTAGTTTAATAAACATGAAGTGTCAGCTCTTTCCTATGATGTTTAAAACACAGCTAAACTTTTTGGTCAATATAATAATTTAACTTTCATGATTTGTAGTGGTTCTCCTATTTCTTTTCTCTTTTTTTTTTCATCAGAAAAAAGATTAATTAGAAAGCATGAGATACAAGACCGGAGGATTCCAAAGCGAAAAAAAAACACAAAAACAGTGACAAAGACCGGGAACAAAGAAAATAGATCCAGTATAAGATTGAGGACTATGCTTTAAATAAAGGAAAAGAGAAAGAAAAAAGGAAAGAGAAGGCATAAAATACAGAAAACAAAAGAACACATCAATGGAGAATATCAAAGCAATCTCTATGTAAAGGAGAAAAAGAAACATCCATATAAATTCCATGCGCCTTAACCCAAAAACAAAGAGAAGCGAAAAAAGTCATCCTATCCAAAGAATCAATAAAAGAGAAAACTGTTTCCTAAAAGTACTAGCATTATTCTCCAACCACAGAACACAACAAAGCGAACGGTGCTTCCCAGAAAAGCATGTATCTTCTCTTCCTTCGAACAAAATAAAAAGAGGTAATAAAGTACTCAAGTTTGAGGAGAAACCACCTAAGATTGGTAACTGCAACAGTATGGATGTAAATAATGCTTTCCTATGTGGAGATACAGGAGGATATTTATATGAAGATTACTCCACGGTTCATAAAAAACATGGAGGCCAACAAAGTTTGCATGGTTTGGAAGGCTCGTAAAAGTGACAATGGCAATAGGATACATGCAAAGTCAACGAGACCACATTCTCTTCATCAAACATTCAGATTCAAAGGGAGTTACAGCCCTCTTAGTGTATATCAATAATATTAGGTACTAATGAGAAAAAGAGATTAGCACTTAAACAGTGTTCGCCAAAGGAATTTGAAAGTAAAGAACAAAAAAAACTAAAATATTTCCTTATTAATGAAGTGGCTCACTTAAAACAAGGAATTTCTACCTCACAACAAAGTACATTAGTGACCTGCTAATAAGTAATGCACCTCGACCTGCTAGTATACCTATTGACGCAACTGTAAGCTGTAACTAACAGAGGAAGACACAGCCATCAATAAGGAGATGTACCAAAAGTTAGTTGAAAGACTTTATTTATCTATCTCACACAAGACTAGACATTCCATATGCGGTAATTATAACAAAACTATTTATGCACAAGCACAAAAAAATGTGGAGGATTTTAAACTCCATGAGGGAATTGAGATAGTAGAAGATATTGTGGAAGATGTTACTCTGATTAACTAAGTTGAGTCTTCTAATGATGAATTTCCTGATTTAGTAACAAACAATGACATTGCTCATGTAGTAAACAAAAATATTTCAGTTGAGTTAGACTCCATAAAGAACAAGCCTCCACCTGAAGATGCTACTCCACAAATTCTTTTGGCTCCTAACAACAATGAGAAAATTTTGACTATTCTTTCTTTATGAATTTTGTCTTTCCTAACTGGTGTTTTACATCTTTAGAATTCTTCATTTCATAAGCATTCATGTCACCTCATAACAATTTCCGGTTTCGCAAGCTTCAAGTGCTATTATGAGAAGCTCCAACTTTAGTGTTCTTTCTATTTTGATATATCAAAATTCGAGGTTGATTTTCACTAAATCGGATAGAATGATCCATAACAGGAAAATCTTAAAATGGGCATATTTCTATGATAAGATTTGTTTATGTAATTGTAGTGTTTATATATCGTATAGATATTTAGGTATTTGGGAATTATTATCTATAAGGAATAAGTATCTTACTTGGCCTATTTAATTAGGATCTTATTTAATTATTTTCTGATATATTTTATTTCAATTTATTGACTTGTTTTCCTATTCTATAGAACTAAGAATTTTTATTTTGATTGTATCTTGGCACCTATAAGCGAAGTGTCCTAGCTTAGTTATTTAGTAGACTATTCATTACTATATAAATAATGAGTTATTGATTTGATCCTTGGGATTCGAGATCTCCTTCTGTCTCTCTTGTTTTTCATGTCTGACTAATCTTCTTCTATTCTCCTTCTAAAACCTTCACCTTTCTTCCCTATTTCTCTCTATCTACCTAGCTTTCTATTGTCTTTTCCATATTTTCACTTTGTTTTTTTTTTTACATTGAAGGATAATTGTGGTTCTACCATTATTTGCCCTACATCATTAATACTAGAAACGGCTGAATAAAAGTTACATCCACCAAAAGAAAGTAGAGCCCACTTCCAACATTCGAAACCCCTATACACCCTATGAAAGACGAGATTCTGAAAAGAAGCCAACCAAAAGTTACCCCCACAAGGAACTCCCAAATAGAGATAATAGGTCACTCCAAAAATATGAAACCCAACCAACTCAATTTGATCTCAAATAGGAGATTGCCTCCAAATAACAGCTAAGATTATATGCTTATTACATGATTGCTCATAATATTCTCTACTTTTTATATTAGTAATTTTCCTGCATCTTGCAGTAGTTGAACCTTACCTTCCTTCTTGGGGAAATAGTAAACAATCATAGGGCTAATACCCTTGGTGTAATTACGTTTCTCTCCTAACTATAAAAAAAATAAAAATAAAAATTAAAAACTAACCATTACAGATGCTCACTCCTACCAGAAGTTTAACTTCTCAAGTTCTCAAATAAATTACAAAAATGAGCATTCTAACAATAGCTTTGCAGTGGAAAAACTTGAAAGAAATAAAAATTAACTCTTCTTAGGTTAATCCAAGCAAGTTATCCAACAATCTTGTTATCAATATACATAGGATTTTCTCAGTTAAATATGCTCTGTATACAAATTAAAAATTGTTTGGACATTTTTTTTCAATAAAAAAGATTCTCCAGCCTAATAAATTAGGATAGATTCACTCATTATGTACAAAATTAAATCAACTGCTTAATTTACATAGAATCACAAGTATCCATTGCAGCTATAATGACACACCTTCAAAAAAATCTGTGTTGCCCGTGCCAATGCAAAGTTTGCTATCTCTCTTCCACCATTATTTTCCATGAAATCCACATATCGCATCCAGAACTCAGGATAATTGGCACATGGAATTAAGCATCTCTCATAAAGTTTAACAGCCTAGTTTAGTGACACGAAAGAAGAAAGTTTCAGAGGAAACAGCATCTAGACAAATGCACTTTTACACTAGAACACTGTTATACATACCCAGTCAAAATCCCCTTGCACTTCAACAAAGTTCAAATATTCATGCCAATTTTCCAATTGACTTTTATCAAGTGGCTTTACATGAAAATAAGACCTCCAAATGCAATTCTCAAAGCAACATATTTTTTCATCCAACTGACATGCTTCGCGATAGAATTGTTCTCCAATGGACAAATATTTCTTCAGTGCTTTAGATCCCACGAAGCCCGGTGGATGGATCCAGCAGGAGTTTGATAATATCATAAATTTCATTGTCTTTATAATGTGCAGAAACTTCAATTACTTCCTCTGATTCTGCTTGTAATTCCATTGCCCCCTCTCTCTGAGATTCTATCTCCACTTTCCATATGGTACCCAACTTCTTAAAACTGGAAGAACCATTAAAAACAAGAATGCATGTGTGTGTATATATAGTTAAAGTTGATATCCAAGGGCCAAACAACAAAAGACATTGAGAAAAAGGAGTAAAATATTGCACCAAGTGCATAACTAGAATAATAGCATATTTGACACTAATTTACTGGTAAGCTATCAAACATTATTATTCTGATGGCTATTCTTAGATAAAGGAATAACCATTCGAGGGAGAAAGCTTAGGAAATGGAATTCAGGACAATAAAAAATACTATGGTAAAAACTTGAACCTCATTGCTAAAATAAAAGGTTATGTTTTACCCTTAAACATCATTGTACCAACATATTTATTTAGATCCCATTCATGCCAGACCAGCATCAAACAACCACCAGACTACAGCCGGATCCATCGAGCCACCATGACTTCTTGTACCTTTACCAGAAATTGCCAGGATTCCTAGAAATTGCCACCTGGCTGGAGAATCACAGTTTGTCCAGTCTAAAAATCCTAAACCCATAAATGAAATCTTAAATCCATGTTTCACTGTTGAAACAGTGGCAAAGGTGAAAAGAGAAACCCAGGGACAAAGATGAAGCCAGAGGTGGTGACTATGGTTCTGGTGAACCTGACAGGAAATCATAGACCAAGCACACATTAGAGCACTGGTTTTCCTTCTATGGCTGCAATGACCTAGTTTCCTTTTTTTAATATTTTCCTCATGCTGATTGCCACCTGATGAAGTTTACAGACATTGCTTGGATTACTAATTAAGAATCCATATTGGTTGTTAATTCTTTTACTGATTAAGGCATTCTTAATAGACTCTTTCATTTTCAATTGGAATATACTTCTTAGTTTTATTAAATTATGAAGTAACTAAATTTAATTGTAATATAAAGTTTCTAACTACTACAACATATAACGATATTTTGGTCATTTGGAACATATTTCACTCATATTCTAACAAATCAACCAAATATGAATTAGACTATGTAACACAAGCAGAATAAGATTACATCCTTAATCTATTTCAAGGAAAGGCGTCCATAATGTTCATAATCAACTACTCTTAGCTCCTTATTCTAAAAAAGAAACAACTATGTTTGGACCAAAATGTTGATTATATACAAATAAGCACTTGATATATTTTGGTTAAGAAATATGTAGGGATGACTAAATAATGTGCCATGTTAAAAGAATAATTAACATAATGAAAATAGATACTTGAGAGAGAGGAAATTGGCAGCAGCAGAAAATAATCAAGGGAAGGCTCAATTCATTCAGTATGGCAAAAAGAAGACACCAAGGGAGAATTCTCTGTGGTATTATCGTCAAATCTAAACATACCATCTTATGCCTCTCCTTTTTATGTATAGAATCCTATTTGTGTTTATTTCAAGCCTATTCTATTATCAATTGATTCATAGATCTTAATTATTTGATAAAATGGAGTTGTCATAATATATATATGTGATGCATAACTAATTAACTCTACTCATATATTCAATTCTAAAACGATGGCTTTGTTTTTGACCTATTAAAGAAGGAAGCCCAAAAACTACACATCTTGAATTGGAGATATAACTGAGTTAGAAGAAAAATGTTACTTCAATTTTAAGTTTCTATTATATTTGTATTGTTTCCTCTTGAAATCTGAAGCAAATCAACCTCAAAATATTATAAGCTCTCTTAGAATACTAGAAAGTAATCTTAACAAAATGAGAGAATGATCCTACAGCAATAAGGAACCTACAAAATAAGTCTTAATCAATGGTAGTTACCAAACAATAGAAGTATATGACAGAATATCAAATCTAAATCGACAAAATCTAAGTAACAACGAAGAACCTTACCAGTATCTTTTCAAATTTATCTTAAGTGAGTAAAGAAAAAGTAAGGTAACATTCAATAATATCATAATTAATAAGAGTAAAATAAAGATTCAGTAATGCCCACTAACAATTTAAACCCTCAATTACTGAGTCCCCAAAATGGAGGCCTAAGAGGATTTTATAATGCATTCGACATTATAGTTTTTAATAAAGTACATAACTAACCAATTTTGCTATCACAATGACATACACGTGCATATATATATATATATATATATATATATAAATAATATTCTGAAAAACTATATAGCATATATGTTATTGTGATATCTTCTCAATATATATATATATATAGATATTGTGATATCTTCTCAATATATATATATATATATATATTGAGAAGATATCAGAATAACATACATGCTATATAGGTTTTCAGAATATTATTTTGTCATATTTATTATGTCCATACCTTAGTTTAAAGATGGGCTTCAAAACTTCTTTGACCTTTTTTTTACAGTTAAGTTTCAAATAGGAATTGCTACTTCATTTAAATTTAAACATCCTAGTTCAGTTTCTTAGTTAAACTCCCAAATATATTGATTCTATAAAAATCATACATGGGTTTTGCATCAAATAAGCTCTTTAAGGCCATGTACCAAGAGACATTGGGATTTTTTGGGAAGTGTATATTTAAGTGCAATTAGAGTAAAAAGTATATTAGTAATATGGCCAGCCTAGCCTTTCATAGCTGGTCACCACCACCACAGCAACCACCCACCGTGACCAAGCTTCATTCCAGGGAGCCACACCTCCAGTTGCGCCTACAGCTGCACAACCAGATCCAACAGCTATCCCACCTTCTGCTCAGCTGCACCCAGAAGTCACGCCACAAGTTCAGCCGCATGCAGTCCTTTCCAGTCAGCTATTCAGGATGTAGCTCTCTGCCTAGCCGCAAACCAGACAGGCAAAGCCTCTCTTGCTCAGCTGTTCTGGGCAAGGCTGCTCTTACCAGGAACCAACAGCAGTGTCCTGCCTGCTCCAGCAACGCGCCTACCTTGCTTGAATATATCCAGTCGGATGAGTTTTGTTTTCTCTTATCAAATAGGTCTTAATTGCCCAAAAAACTTTAGATTATGTTGGAGGTTACATCTCCACTCACCGACACAAACCCCAACATGGCAAATTCAAAACAATACAATAAAGAATTTCAATCATCTTAGGCTGCCTACTGCCTGAATGGAAAGAATTACATAAATTGCTTACAACTGACTTGGAAAACCCTCAAAGGAAAAGTGAAACTCATCCATATTCTAGGCACCAGACCCAACCCAAGAGATTCACAATTTGACACTTGGAATAAGGAAGATGAATGAAGATAATGTCATCAAAGATTTGTAACACTTGTATGTTTCCTACCACTCCTAAGGAGATTTGGGAAGCAATCAGAGAAACCTATTCCATAGTAAAAGTATGCAGCTTAGATATATGAGCTGGCAATCAAAACTTAGTCAATAAAGCAAGTAGATTAGTGAAAGAGTATGCTAATCTATTGAAAAATTAGTGGCAAGAACTAGATTAGTACTGTTGTCTCACTAAGGATTACGGCAAATATACAACCTTACCGCTTAAAAGCTCAACTTATCCTCAGAACAGAAATATGACGGTAAGGGAGGCGTATGTGGAAAGTGGAGACCATAGATGGTGGGATGTGCAGGTGAAGGGAAATTTGAATGATTGGGAGATTGATGATTTTCAGCAAATTATATCTTTTTATTTTCTGAATTAAAAGTGGGTGGCTGGGAAGATTATAAACAGTGGACGTTGGAGAAAAATGGGATATTTTCTGTGAAATCCCTATATTGTCACCTTGGGGGTGGAAAGGTGAAAGCTGAATCTGTTTTTCCATTTAAGCAAGTAGGGAAGACTAAAGCACCTCCAAGAATGCCTTTTTTTTGTATGGGAAACATGCAGAGGAAGTGTTTTAACTATAGATATGCCCTTGAGGAGAGGGAGATGCATTGTGAATGGATGTTATATGTGCAAATGTTATGCTGAATCTTGTAACCATCTATTATTGTGGTGTCCGCTGGTTTATGATCTATGGACTTCTATTTATGGAATGTTGAGAATCAAATGGGTTATAACGGGGTTGGTTAAGGATGAATTGTGGGCATGGGCTAGATTTTTTTTTTAAAAAAGAAAAGTATGAAGTTGTATTGATGTAAGGTGCTAAGAGAGCACTGCCCATGTATAAAATTTACATCTCAATTAGTATATATACAATATCACCAAAATCTTCAAAACAATTAAGGTTATGCCGTAATAAGTTAGAACCAAGATAGTGAAACCAGTTATCCTTGATTTTGTTGAAATCGGACTCAATTCCATCAAAAACTCTTTTGTTTCTTTCTTTCCAAATGACCCAAAATATGGTGAGGGGAATGAATCTAATAGATTTATTGTTGCTGCCAAGACCCTCCCAGGCCATTAACTCAGCACAAACGTTACCAGCCATAACCCATGAAGTTCCCAGCAGTCCAAAAATCATACTCCAAAGTTTATGCGTAGTTGGGTAACTCAAAAGAAGGTGGTTGCAGGATTCCAAGGCATTTTTACAGAGGAAACATCTGTTGGCAGTTATGTGACCTCTTTTCATCAAGTTGTCCAAGGTGATAATCTTCTCCTTTGCTGCCTCTCATGCGGAAAAAGAAATCCTTGGGGTAGCACCAAATTTCCAGATGATTTTGGAAGGAAAAGTTCTTGGACTATGATGGTGGTGACCATCTAAAAAACAGAACAGTGAATTGACTGAGACGAGGCCCTTTTTCGTGAGATTCCACAATAATTTTTCGTCTCTGTTATTGAGATTGATACTGGCCAAAGTAGAGAGTAAAGATTCATATTGTTCTAGTTCCCAATCATTAAGATTCCTTGCAACTGGGACATTCCATGAAATGCTGCCATCAAAACCTGCAGCTTCCCTTACAATAGCAGCTTTGTTCGTAGTTATGGCATAGATAAGAGGTAAGTGGGCATGGGACAAATTGTGTAAGAAAAAAAAATATTTAATGCTGATTCCATTATCTCTAATGTGGGTTGTGTAGAAAAAGAGAAATTCAAGAACTTTTGAGGGGATAGAAAATGATTTTAATAGCATCAGGGATAGATGGTTTCATCTTTTTGGCTCTTTGGGACATGATATATAGAACCTAGAAGATTTGGGAATGGTTTTAGATCATTTGATTGAGCTGTAATTGTTGTATCTTGGACAGTACCTCTTTGGTACCTCCGGAATGAAGTCTTTTTTTCTTTCCAAAAAAAAAAGCTCAACTTATCCTCTCCCTCCCTTCGATGTAACCGCTATAGCAAGAAAACTAGGTTTAATGCCTGATGAAAATTAGTTACCCAGTCATCGTCCTTGACTTCCACATCTCCCACGTTCTTCGATGGTCTAATATTAGGCGAGAATCTAGCATTTTCAAAAATTAAGGAAAACCAATTTCCATTGCCAACTCCCCACTAGCCCCTACTCCTTCGTCATCATCACCCATGTCATTGCTCCTGACCTTCTACCTTACTTTTCTCTGTTTTGTCACATTTATTCTGCGGGTGCAGCTAGCATCAACCATCATTCCACACTTGTTACCTTGTGGTATTATAATTACCTCATTCCTCCCTCACCTTAGTATTACGAAACCTTCAAGAACATTCCTTTTGAATTCTTATGCTCCTCTCCCGAAGAGTCCTTTTTGGTGATTCAACAATTGTATATCCTTTCTTATAAAACATCCAGACTAACCTACTACTTGTATATCCTTTCTTATCAAACATCCACTCCTTCTCTACCATCATAATCTAGTACCTTGATACTCTAGTAATCTCAACTATGCAGACATTAGAGAAATATTTTCCCTCCTCACAATGACTATGAAGGATTTGTTAGGACAGTCATGAACCATCTGATCGACTTATAATTTTGTGCTTTCAGGTAGTACCCCCTTGGTAACTTTATGTATGATAATATTTTTTCTCTTTTTATTTTAAAAAAAAAAGACTATGAAGGACTTCGCTTCAACCATTATTAGACTTATACCTCCCAAAATGACAAGAAAAGATGTATTAAAACAAACATTAATCAAAAAGGCCATTAATCACTCATCAAGAAAGTCATTGCTAGCACTCCCATATACTATAGCTTGTCCATACAGATGTAATAACCTTAAAAAAAATCATTAGCCTTTTCTTCTAGGTTTTAGAGTATCTTTTGAACTTGAAAAGATGACCTAAAAAATTCTTCTAGTTTATGGATGAATATCATTTTAGAAATTGAGGGCCAGACATAATCAAGCTTCCGTTGATTTTTTTTTTCTTGTCAAACAATCCAAACATTTATCATGCTAGAAATTCAAGATTAGTGCCTATCTTTGAATGACTTAATATCATCAAATCATAGGGAATTGCTCTCGCTATACCACATATTAAAGTAAAAGCAAGAGATATAGAAAGCACATAATTCTAAGTATTTGGAAAGTTGTCTAACTCCACGAAAGTCACTTATAATCTTTCACATTGGAGAATTTAATCTCAAAAATAGTATTTTGTGTTTAAAAGGATTTAAGAAGAAATTCTAAAATAACAAGAATATTTCCATGATACAAACTCTCTAATCAAATGCTTCCTTGCAGCTTATTATGAATATTATACTCTCTAAATATGAATCACAAACTTAATAAAAGATAGCACCCAGTTTATTAAGAATTAAGAACCTTCTATTACTTGATCTGAAATGAGGCTCTCATGCATAACTCTCAGGACACAGTGTAATCCTAATGAACAACCAAAAAGAGATCTTTATTCATACCTGTCATAATATAGATGCAACTTTTTGGTAGGAAATCTGAGAGCTTGGACATAAACAAGAGCTAGTAAGTCCCAATGCTGGTGCGAGAACTCAAATTCAATATACTTATCCCATAATTTATGGCATAAATAATCCTTCCCAACAAAGGAAATGCCTCTTTTGAATAGTCTGTCACATCATTTTCACTGGAAACTGTTAGTTCCTTAACTTGGTTCTCAATGTTCTTTATGATATAAGAATATCCAAAAATTAGAAAATACAATATAGCAAAGATGCTGGAAGAAAGTATATATCACTCAAGCTATTGAATCAACAAACAGATACTGAACCACAAGTATGCACTGTTATAAAGACGGAAAAATTATCTTAATGAGGTATCTCCCTGAATTACACATCACAAGGGAAACCACTATTTCTTATAAAACACATTAGCATTTGGAAAAGAATGGAAAACTCATAACATAGTTGAAATTTAAATCTGAAAGTACGAAGAAATCTTGCTATTATCAAAAAGTAAAGATCAAATAGTAGATCTCACCCTTAAAACCACAACCAAGAAATACTATATTCCATGTAATCACCAAGCTTGCCACAAAATGTTCTCTTAGGCTAGGATCATATAAACCTTAGCTCGATCCACAAATATCATAAATAAATGCAATCGGTTATTACCCAAATATTGTCCAAGGATTAGTTTACAACCAAAGATCGTGCATGCTTAAATCTGTAAACAAAAAATGAGATTGCTGGATTCCATGGAGTATATGATGAGGAGGCTCGGTTTTGGGGTTAAGTGGAGAAGATGGGCGATAAGATGCATTTCTACTACTTCATTTGTCGTGATGGTGAATGGTGGCTTTTCCTCTTTTTTCACGGCGACCAGATGGCTAGGGCAGGGAGATTCTTTCTCCACTCTTATTCATTATTGTTATGGAAATATTTAGCCGATTATTGGAAAGAGCAAGGGAGGTGAATTTGATCAAGGGGTTTGAGGTTGGTAGAGGTAATGGGAGAGTGGAGGTTTCTCATCTGTTTTCTGCTGATGATTCACTCAATTTTTGTAAACCTGA